TGGAGGGGGGGGAGAACCCGCCGCTCTCGCCGTCTCGGAGGCTCGCGAGGGAAGGCGCTGGTTGGAATCCGCCCGATGGAGGCCAGGTCGGTAACCCCGGGGAGCCGGGCGAGCCGGGCCGGCGCTCTCCGTCCTCCCCCCGGGTGTGGGGGTGCGTGGGGGAGGGGACGGAGGGGGGAAACGGGACGAGAACGATCGCCCGGCGGCCCGGCCTCTCGGAGACTCACCGTCAGCCTTGGGGCGAAGCGGGGGGCGGGTGGGTGGGGGAGAAAATGTAGGCTCGGCCGTGCGGCCCCTTTAAGAGGGGGCGGGGCGCGGCCTGCCGTTTGGCCGCCCTCCTCCCCCCCTCCCCTCCCGCGCTCTCCCTCCCTCCCTCCCTCCTCCCTCCTCCCTCCCCCACCCCCGACAACCCCGGGCGAGAGTTGACAGACCAATCGCCCGGGTGGCGCAGGGAAAGGCGGGAGAATGCGAACCCTCCGGTAGGGCGGTAGGGGCGGGGCCCCAGCCTTCTTAGAAAGGGGAGGGGGGGGGGCCTGCGCAGGCGCAGAGGCGGCCACGGCCGAAGGGGCGGGGCCAAGTCCACTGAGACCCGGCCCGGGGCACCGAGGCTGATAAGCGAGGGGGAGAGAGAGAGAGAGGAGAAGGGCAGCGAGAGGGGGGCTCGTCCCGGGAGAGATCTGGGCGGGCCGTGTGTCTCGTGTGTGTGTGTGTGGGACGGACACAGACGGACACACACACCGAAGGGGGGGACAGCCAGTGTCACCACCGCTCGGGAGCCCGGCGCCATCGTCCGCGGGGGGAACCCCGCTGCTCTCACTCTCTCCGAGCGAGCGAGCGAGGGAGGGAGCCCCGGTCTCGCCCCGCCCCTGGGCTTGTTACCGCGGGGGCGGGGAGTGAGGGTTTCTTCTTTGGGGAGGGGTGGAGTGGAGATCGGGGCCGGGGGGGGCGGAGGACGACACTCGGCGGTGCCCTCTCGAGCGGCGGCGGCGGCGGCGGCGGCGGCGGCGGCAGGATGTTAGGGCAGCAGCAGCAGCAGCAGCAGCAGCAGCAACAGCAGCAGCTGTACTCGTCGGCCGCGCTCCTGACCGGAGAGCGGAGCCGGCTGCTCACCTGCTACGTGCAGGACTACCTGGAGTGTGTGGAGTCGCTGCCCCACGACATGCAGAGGAACGTGTCGGTGCTGCGGGAGCTGGACAACAAATACCAAGGTACTTTTCTCTCTCTGGGTCTCCCCGGTGACAGGGTCCGGGAAGTGCGGCGGGCGATCTGCTGCGGTGGGACCGGGAGACGGGGCGGGGGTGGGGTGGGTTATGGAGGTGGTGGTGGAGAAACTGCAGAGCCGGCCTCGCGGCCCTTGCCTGTCCCGGCTGCTGCGGCTCCCCGGGACTTCCGAGGGCCGCCCGGCTGCAGCCCCGGGCGGCTGGCTGCAGCTGCCGCCGACCGGGAGGAATCAGCCATTTTTTAAGCGAGCATTTTGTTCCGGTGCCCGCCGGCTGGCTGCCTTGCCGCACGCTGTCCTGATGCCGGAGCTGGCGAGTGTGCAGCGGGCTGGGCTGGGCTGGGTGCGGGGCCCTCCCTGCTGGCCCCGGCCCCGGCCCCGGCCCCGCTGGGCCCCCCTGGCCCTGGGCGAGCAGATGCATTGGAACGGACCGGGGGGAGGGGGGCGAGAGGACGGGGCGAAGGTGGACTTAGGAGGCGGCCCCCCCACCTTCCCTCCCTCCCTCCCTCCCTCCCTCCGGCGGCTCCCGGCGTGGCGCGGGACCGGGACAGTCTGTGCTCCCCTCTCGCCCCGGGGAAAGTTCCGGGGCCGCCCGGTGCCTCAGCCCTTCCTCAGCTCCTGCCAATTGGTTAAAGGGGGAGGGGTCCCCCCGCAGGGCCAGGCGGAGAGGGTGTGTGTGTGTGTGTGAGTGTGTGTGTGTGTGTCTGCTAATGTGTGAGTGTGAGTCTGTGTGTGTGTGTGTGGCGGGGAGGGCCCGGTCTGGGGGCGGGGCCTGCGGGTGTGACGTCGTATGGGCGGGGCGCGCGCTCCCGCGGGCCGCGGCCGCGGCGGGCTGCTCGGAGGAGCCTGGGTGGACTGAGCGGACCGGTCGCCGCCGGGGAGGGGGGACCCTGCTGCTGGGGCGGGGGCACTTGGATGGGCCTGGGCGTCGTCGTCGGCGTCCGGGGTGGTGGTCTTTCCAGTCTCTCCCACCCCCAGGCTCGAGCCCCGCTGTGGGACTGTCGCGGACCCCGGCTCAGCGGAGGTTCCGGGCTATGTGTCACTTCCGGGGGCCTCGGGAGGAAGTGGGTTCGTTGGCTGGGCAACCACCTGGCGTCCCTGCACCCTTGAGTTCCTCCTCCTCCACCAAGTTTAAACGAGGAGAAACGCTTTCTCGGTGGTTGTTCGTCGTCAGAGAAACTAGAACAGGGAATCATCATGAGGGACTGTCGTGCCTTTCTGCTGCTAGGACAGAAGAAGTTTAATTGGGGATGTGTTTGTCCTTTAGTAAACCCGAGTCAGGGAACAGCGTAGACCTAATGTGGACCGTAAAAACCACTTGTGGCCATTCTGTTTTTCCAGACATGTCACCAATCCTGTAACTTAATCCTGTAGTCCACCTCATGGTGACATTGTTTTAGCATGTTAGAACACTTAGGTGTCTCTGCCTACAATTTTGTTTTCTGAGTCTCTGGTAAGACTAATTTCTGTTGGGAGAAGGCAGTACTGTTTCTGCAGTATGCTGGTATCTTCACCAGGTTCAAAACATAGGAGGTTAAAAAAATCACTTTTATAGATAAAATTTACAGCGCTAAAGTAATTATCCAGTTAATTGTGTGGAGAATATTTTATCTCAAAGTTGTCTACTTCAAGAACACATCTGTTTTTAAATTGTGTGACTCCTCTCATTCCTAAGGGGTTGAATTAAAGACTCGAAGGATAGGTAGAGGATTTACCACTGTCCTGGAGGCTACCTCTGCTTCCACCCTTTTAAAAAAAGAGCATCATCTGTGTTTTTTTTTTTTTTTCTGCAGACATGGGGGACATACATGAATGACAGCCTAGCATTGGGACATGTGCTTAAGAATTCTGTGCCAAAATTTGTAGTTTTCCTTATATTAACACTGTATTGTATTCTTTAAAGGCACAAAAATGAGACTATTTTAGGTTGGTTGTGACATAATTTTTCAACAGGAAAGTCTGTGATACCAGTTATCTGTAATTGACATAGGTTGCTCTGGTAACATGAGTATTGGACCTTAAATACTGAAAAGTTTATACACACTGTCAGCTTCGTTGTGATTGTGACTAATTCCAGGATTAATATAAAAATCGTGGTCCGGCTTCTGCTCTATGAACATAGTTGCTAAGCTCAGCTTCACAGTTTTATTTTTGTTAGAAGCTGTATATATGTTTGTGTTCTTAATTCAGATTTTATTTTCACCGATTCTTAAGTATTTTCTATTCTGGGGGGTAGTGCTAATACAACAGTGCTGAGTGAGGGAACCCATGAAATTGCTCCCTCACCAGTGGAGTCTTTCAGGAATTACTGATCAGTCCATTAAGTAGAGAAGTAAAGAAAAAAAAACAATCAAATTAAATATTCATTGCAGGATATGGTTATTAGAAAACCTTTATGGTCTCCTCAGCGTTTCATTCATAATTTTCTAGGGAAACAGCAACCTTTGAGCTAAAATGTAATGTGTAATTCCAAGTGTCTTTCATATGGTGTATGGAAAGTGCTGTAAGGTCAGATGTACACATTTGGCAGTTCAAAGTTTGAGATTCTTGAATTTTTTCCTTTACCTCATATAAAAGTGATAGCATTCTTACTGGTTTGATCTGTAGAATTTTTTTTTTAAGTGCTGAACATAGAACCTAGGGTCTCACACATGTATGGCAAGCAGTCTGCCCGTGAATTATCCCCAAACCCCCTTTTTAGTGTTTCTTTTGATAGAGGCACTCACTGAGTTGTCTAGGCTGGCCTTGAACTTGTGATCCTCCTGCCTCACTTTATCAAGTAACCGGAATTACCAGCTGCCAGGCCCAGCAAGATGAAAAAAATTTCTATCCCATAATATGGGCTGAGTAAATGGTAATTCTTTTTTTTTTCCTTTTATCTCATGGTATAATTAAGGTGTCTTTAAAATATAAATTTTTATCTTATTACAGTGTCAGTGTGTAAGTATGACACAAGGAACAGCTAACTCCTGATCATGAGATACAGAATATTTGAAATGAAGTTTATGTTTTTGTATTCTTTAAATTATTTTGCATTTAGCAAAAAAAATAGCTAATGTCTTTTTTTTTTCCTGTAGGAAAACTGCACCATATAAGGAGATGCACTTATATACCTGCTTGAACAAAACAGGGTAGTTTTGAATTTTGTTCAGAAATAGGATGTGCACAGGCCAGCAAGATAGGTCACTTGGTAAAGGTGCTGACAGCCAAGCCTGACGACCCGAGTTCAATCCCTGTAACTCACACGGTGGAAGGAGAGAACCGACTCCTACAAATTGTCCTCTGACCTCCATTATGAGTGCTGGGGCATGCATGAGTGCTTGTAAACACACACACACACACACACCCCACACACACAATGCTAAAAAGAATTCAAAGCTGTGGTATGTGAGTACTCTCGGGACCTTCAGCTTTAGTAGTGAAATTGTCCATTGAGTATTAATACCTGCAATTTCCAGGGAGTGGGGAATCCATAAATGTGCTAATTATTTGCTTTTGTTGCCTGATTTCAGACAGCCACTGTATGTATTTTACTTATTTAACATTTCTGCTCATTATAATAGTAATTGGAATATAAAACAGCGGTGTGGCATATAATAGTAATAACATTGGAAGCTGAAACAGTGATATGCTACATAGT